ACCAAATCAGTAATCTCTGTTGGAGGGAGGAGGGATTGTTGGGATTTCAGCACCATGGCCAGCGCTCACGGAACCTGGGAGGGGAGAGGGAGCCTGAGAAGGCTGCTGCAGGCAGCACCCTCAGAAGCCAGGGCACTCTGCTTGCTCTGTCCTGCCTTCCCTGCTCTCAGAGAAAGGAATTCCATCTTTCCAGAGCTACGCTGCTGGTGGCAGAGCAGCAGCAGAGGGCAGAGGAAACTTTGGGGGGTTCGGAGTCTGCTGTGCGGAGACCAAGCCTTAGGGGCACTGCGTCCCAGGATCTGAGCTGTACATTCAGAATGGGCAGTTGCAGCTTGCTTGCAACTGAATGGAAATATATGCACCCCAAACCTCGCACGAGTCCTGGCTGAAATGCCCACAGATCTGTAGATATATATATATATATATATACACACACACACACACACACACACACACATATATATAGTTACAGAAGCTTCTTTTGGTGAATAAATACTTGTATATGTTTTTCCACCTTTTAACATTTCTGTGTGTATGTATGTTTTGGGTATGTTGTGGTGTCTTGCTATTTTAATCCAATCATAACATCTGTTTTCAATTTGTAAATGTATAATTTATATTTGCAATTAATAATAATAAATTGCAGTTTGTTTAAACTAATTACAATTGTATAATGGAACATAGTTCTATCATGTGCTTTTGTGCTTTCTGTTGATTCTGCTGGTGCACAGAGGGCGTGAGCAGTGGCCACTGCAGATCTTAGGATGTTGTCGAGGATGTGTCAGTATTCGAGTTAGGAGTCCCCTCATACATCTGGAAGGACCATAAACACACTGATCTCTGTGCCTCTGCCTGTATCTATGCAGTGGACAGAGAGACTCCTGGTGAAATGGGAAGGAGCCACATGGGGCAAAATCAGAAGATGCTTCACACTTTGGCTGTACAACCTGACCTGGCTAATTCACTTCTATGAGCCATCTGTAAGAGTGAGAATAGTAAAAAGTATACAACGTACTTTGCAGGCAGGAATCCAAGATAATGGATACAAAAGTGGTTTTTGCAAGTTGTAAATGCCATTGATAAATAATTTATGATGGTTGTTAGCATTAAGGCTTATTATTCATCTCCTGGCTGTTCTCTGCACCCCACTCCTGGAACCAAAGGCATACCAAGTCCTCAAATTCTAATGAGAAACGTTGACTGAAGACGGATGTTTGAAAGAAGGGCAGGAGGAGAATAATCAGATTCGGTCATTTGTCTTCAACAGAAGTGTACTGGCTCATGGCTCTGCAGGCTGGGAAGCTCAAGATCAAGGGGCTGCACCTGGTGAGGGCCTTTGTGCCACATCATCACACAGCAGAAAGCACCACACAAGGAGAAGAAAGAGCAGGAGAGCAAACTCATGGACCCTAGCTATTTTTTCTTAAAATATTTCTTTATTTTGTTTGAAAAGCAGAGTTAAAGGGAAGGGGAGAGACAGAAAGAGACCCTCCAAGTGCTGCTTCACCCCCCAAATGGCTGCAATGGCCAGGGTCGGGCCAGACTAGAGCCAGGAGCCAGGAGGCTCTTCTGGATCTCCCACATGGGTGCAGGGATTCAAGCACTTGGGCCATCTTATACTGCTTTCCCAGGTGCATTAGCAGGGAGCTGGATTGGAAGTGGAGCAGCCAGGACTCTAACCAGCACCCACATGGGATGTCAGCATCACAGATGACAACCCAATTTTCCATGCCACGGCTGCATGCCCCAAGCTCCTTTACAATCTGTATTAATCCATTAATGAGAGTGGAGCCCCCGTGACCTATATACCTTCCAGCAGGTCCTACCTCCCACCACTGCCACATTGAGGACTAAGGTTCCATCACTTGATCATTGGAGTGTGGGTGTGTGGGGAAGACATTCAGACCACAGCACCCCAGGAAGCACAAAGGTATCACTGGAGTCTTTTTTGTATAAATGTATCCAGGTACAAGGATGTGGATACATTTGAACCCTGGTGTGTTGTGTGGTAGAATGTGGAATGGTGCAGCCACTACTGAAAAGAGTGTTGGGCTTCCTCAGAAAGTTAAAAATAGAATTACCAGATTACCCATAAATTCCTCTTTGGGGATATATCCAAAAGAATTAAAAGCAGAGTCTCAAATTAAAGCAGCACTTGTCACCATAGTAAAAATTTCGAAGCAACCTGAGCACCCATTGGTGGATGGACAAACAAACGTGATCTACTCATACCATGGAATATTATTTATCCTTGGAAAGGAAGGAAATTCTGAAACTTTCTATAGCTTGCTGAAGCTTGAGGACATTATGCTATGTGAAATAAGCCAGACACAAATACTGCATGGTTCTACTTTTATGAAGCACTTGGAGTAGTCAAATTCATATATATATATATACACATATATATATGTAGAGAAAAATTAAGAAATTCAACATCATAGTAAGGGAGTTTAATACTCTCAGCAATTGATAGCTCATGGCGATAACATAGTTGAAAGAATACAGAATATTTGCACCACAAAATTAAAGTTTGACCTATAAATCTCAATATAGAACCCTGCACCTAAAAATTAGATGATATACATTGTTCTCAAGAACATGCAGTATTCGTGAGTACAAAGAATCTGTATCAGACCATGTTTTCTGGATGAAATCAAATAAGAAAGCAAAAGCTAGATGACATCTAACACCTCCTGTATTTAGAAATTTACAATCCAGTCCTAAATTACTCATGGATCAAAACAATGATTGATCGTAACAGAAATTAAGACTTTACTACTTCATGATATTGAAAATATCACAGATGAAAATGCATGAGAAAAGGGACCAGTCTTGTGGCCTAGTGGGTTAAGGCATATCCTATGATGAAAACTGAACTAAAGGCAAGTTTATTTAGGTGCAAATTTTTTTCAAAATCCATGCACACTTTTGTCAAGGTATGCATTTTCCATGAACTTTTTTTTTCAAAAAAGGATTTATTTATTTGAAAAGCAGAATTACAGAGAGGCAGAGGAGAGAGAGAGAGAGAGAGAGAGAGAGAGAGAGAGAGAGAGAGATGTCTTCCATCTTCTGGTTCACTCCCCAAATGGCCACAATGGCCAGAGCTGAGCTTATCCAAAGCCAGGATCCAGGAGGTTCTTCCAGGTCTCCCATGCGGGTACAGGGGCCCAAGGACTTAGGCCATCTTCCACTGCTTTACCAGGCCATAGCAGAGAGCTGGACTGGAAGAGGAGCAGCCGTGTCTCAAACTGGCACTCATATGGGATACCAGCACCGCAGGCGGCAGCTTTACTTGCTATGCCATGGGGCTGGTCCCCTCCATGAGCTTTTTAAGGACTACTGATACAGCCTCCTGTACTATTCCATCCTTCAGATGTGCTAATTGTAAATAAACTCAAACTGTATTCCCCATGTAGTAATTAGGAAGTGATGCATCTGGGGTGTTTATTAACTTTATATATATATATATATATATATATATATACACACACACACACACACACATAACTGTAGGCTTCTATAATTTCATCTTGAATGATGCTGGGGAGGGGGTGGCAGGAGGGGAGTGGGGAAGGCTTTAAGAGGAATGAAATTACAGTTTCAATTTGGATTGGATTGCATTTTTTTAATACCAGCGAATCAGACTGTTTATTAACACCCAAAAGTGCCAGGAAAAGCTATCAAATCTGCCCTAGATTCTTCCCGAGAAGGGAGATCAGATAGAACCGTTTAAAAAAAGGCAGTGGTGTGGAGAAAAAAAAAGGTGCTATTTCATGGTTTCCCTTGACCAAGCAGTACAGTTTGTTAAAAAAAGATTGAACTAGTATAAAATATTGCTTCAAGTTTTAAAATAGCCACTCCCTAAAAGACTGTAAACCAAGCTAAACGGAGCCAGGACCAACACCATCCGTTCATCTTCATCATGGCAAATCCTCATCAACTTGGTCTCACTTCCTCCCCTGGGGGCGTCTCCCCGCGCCCCCTCCCCGCTGGCCAGAGCTGGAGCCGGACGCCCTCGCGCGCGCGTAAGCGCGGGGCGGCCGGCAGAGGGCGCTGCGGCTCCCCGGCGGCGGGGCTGCGGCCGGCGGCTCCGGGCGAGGGGCGCGGGCCGGGAGGAGGCGCCCGGGGCTCGGCGTGTGCGTCTCCGGGCGGCCGGGAGGGGGTGCGCGCCTCTGCCGCCCCGTGCCACCCCTCCAGCGCGGGCCTCTCGCGCCCGGCCGCTGTCACCGCGCCGGCACCTCGCGGGCGAGGCTCGCGGGCTGCGCTGCGCGCTCGGAGGCCCCGCAGCTTCTCTTTGTCCGGGCGAGGCGGCCGGAGGAGCGGCCGCTGAGGCGGGGAGCGCCCGGGCGTCGTGCGGGCGGCGCGGGGTTCCTCAGCCGCCCGCCGCCCGGCTGCGCTCGGAGCGGGGGCGGCGGCCCGGGTGGTGCCTGCGGCGAGGTGAGTGCGGGGACGCGGAGCCGGCGGGGGCGGGCGGGGGCGGCTGGGGCGCCTGCGGGTGCGGGGGCGCCGCCTCTCCCGGCAAGTTTGCCGGCTGTCTTTTGCGGCAATCCGTGGCCGGTCGGCGGAGTCCAGACCTGTCAGTAAATCGGAAACTCCAGCTGGGGCGAGGGAGAAAGAGGAGGAGGACGCGTGTTGGAAACGGGGTGGTCGGGATGGCAGTGTCCCGGAGGGACAGCGGTGGGCTTTCGGACTTGGTTCCGGGCTCTATCCGACCCAGGTGAGCGATTCCCGCCTTGCGCAGGGCGCGGCGGGTGGCTCCGGGCGGCTTGGAGACAGGTGCGCGCGCGGAGCCGGCTGCGGGCTGCGCCACTCTCTCGGCCTCTCCAGCGTCCCAGCGCCGTTCCCTCCCGCCCGCCTGCCTCACCTGCTCCGCGGCTCCCTGGGCATCTCCGCCAGGTGCAGCGCGCTGCGTTTCGGAGGCGCTGCTGGGGTAGTTGGAGCGATTCCTCCCCATCCACCCTCGGCTTTGGATAATTTGGTCTGTGCCTTCGTCTTAATTTAGTACGGATGTGTTATTTCCTTCCAGCGTTCTAATGGGGGAGCAGGGACGCGGCTCGCTACGTCTCCCCCCACCCCCCTGTCTCATTCTGAGCAGAAGGAATCGCAGGCATACAAGTGATGTTACTACCGTTCTATTTTAAATACAAACACGGGAAGAACTCTTGCAGCATACCAGAGGCGCCTGTACTCTGTTATATAAGTGCTTTAAAAAAAATCGCCTCGTATTGGTGAAGTTCCGAGTGGATAGCAAAGCAGCTAAGAGAGTGTGGAGGTGGCAGAACCTGCTCATCTCTGCTGTCGACCAAAACTTTGCTTCACGGTAAACGCTGGGCTTTTCAGATGCCACGCAGGAAAAAAACCTCGGAAACCTCACTGGGTAGAATTGCAAAGCGTTTAAGAAAACAGATTTTGTCAGCTCTGTGCTGGACATCGGTGAGCACTGTGTGACCACTTACGGGGGTCTGGGGAGATCACAGGTATCCGTTAACGACTTTCACTTATTGAATGGTTTTATTTTGATCTCTGATGGAAACCTAGTAATTGTTGAGTTGCCAGTTATCAAAGGCGTCCCAGACACGAAACAGAACCCCCACCCACGCGCATTCATGGTTATTTATTTATTTTTGGGTGAGGAGAAGAGGAAAGAAGAAAAGGATCAGAGGTACTGTGTTAAGGGCCCCTTAGTCCGCACCCCCCCACACCTGCTGTAATTGGTTTGGGGAGATACCCTGGCGTCTGCATTGTTAGTGGTGATTCTGATCCCTAGCCAGAGATGGGACCCATTGGAAAGCATTCTGTGAGTTTGCTGCTTTGTAACTTAAGCCATTCTCTGGTGGTTTAATAAGGTAGGTCAAAAATACATGGGGTTAGAAATACCGGAAGAGAATGACAATAGGAGATTTTTCCAGGAATTCCAGTCCCTGCTGAGACTGGTTGATATCTATCAGGGACCCATCGCTCTGCCTCCTGTGCTGAGCTGGGTGCTAAGTGGTACCCTGGCTCGTGCAGAGGTGGAAGTGAAAGTTGAGTTACTACACAAATTATGCTTTTATGTTTATGTGAGAAAGGAACCACATCTTATTAAGGGTTATTCTCATTCAGGCTTCTCCCCCTCAAATCAAAAACTTATGTTGATATAGATGAGTAAATTCCATGCAGAAAGCTTTTTATGATATTTCAGGTCTGAAATCAACCTGACTGCTGAATCAGTGCTTCTCTCTGCCTTATGTAACTCCCAGGATCCACATCGGAGAACAGCTCTCGTGGGTGGTTTATGAAGGCTTATATAAGAGCTACGACTGTGCTTTTGGTTCTCTCTTAAACTCCCTGTTTGGGCTGTTACATAATTGACTGGGAACTAGGCTGGTAAAGCCCGAATCGGGGGAGGATGCACAAACCCCGTTCTGCACATGCACTTTTATAATGAATTGCTGCTGCTGAATTAGAGGGAACAGCAGGGATGGTGGTTTGTGAAAGGGAGATAAGAATAGCATCTCGGGGATTGATGTAATAGAGGACTGTTATGTTGAGCGATTTTCTGGAGGTTTGCATGCTGTGGTGGAACCTCTGGTCTGTTGTCTCTCTCAGCAGAGGCGGATTGCCGGGGAGGCTGATGACTCTTAAGCTCCAGGCTTCTTCAGAGCCCCTGGGAGGGGCCCTAGCACTGTGTTTGCAGGGTCACACCTGAGTTTGCAATTGTAAGTTTGGGTTGTTTTTAAACAGATAGGATGCTCTTTCTACCCTTACACACACACACCACCACTATATAAACCCTAAGATTGCACAAACCTGACTCTGCCTCCAGCTGCAGGTTGTGTCCAACTGTTAGCTCATAAAAGTGCCTATTCTTATTTTCCTTCTTGTCATCCTATGCAATGATACAATAAAAGCAATCTGGCCAGTATTGTAGCTGACTTGCTGCAAAAATGCACATTGCTAGAACATAGGTCTATGGGGAGCTATTGAAATCAGGTGGTTGGGGCCGGCTCCGTGGCTCACTTTGTTAATCCTCTGCCTGTGGCGCTGGCATCCCATATGGGCACCCGGTTGCTCCTCTTCCAGTCCAACTCTCTGCTGTGGCCTGGGAGGGCAGTGGAGAATGGCCCAAGTTCTTGGGCCCCTGCACCCGCATGGGAGACCAGGAAGAAGCACCTGGCTCCTGGCTTCGGATTGGCATAGCTCTGACTGTAGTGGCCATTTGGGGGGTGAACCAATGAAAGGAAGACCTTTCTCTTTGTCTCTCTCTCTCTCTCTCTCTCTGTCTAATTCTGTCTGTCAAATAAAAAAAAAAAAAAAGAAATTAGGTGGTTACCTAGAGAGCCAGCTCTTAGCCTCGCCATGTCACAGGAGGCAGACTTTTCTGGATCTGAGTGTGGCCAGAGGTAGAGAAAAGCAGATATGGCCGCTAGACGGGAGCAGAAGGGTTACAGCTCTTCCTTGTCCCAGAAGCAGCCTGCTAAGGGGAAAAGCAATGAGAAATCAACTACTAAATTAATAAAAAGTTAATTGGAACAGATAGCATCAGCTCTATAGGAGATAGTCTTGTGAGCTCTGTGGGGTCAGACTCTGGTAGGAAATTTAAACAGCATGCAGACAAACGCAGATCTGGAAAATCTCTTGCATTTGTTTTCAATGCAGGTCAAGGAGGAATAAAGAATTTTGGCTTGACCCCATGGGCAATTTTTAAATTATTTAAAGTTGATTTATTTGAGAGAAAGAGAGAGCCCCTCATCTACTGATGCACTCCCCAAAGGCCCACAATGGCCAGGACTGGGCCAGGTCAAAGCTGGGGACTGGGAGGTCCATCCAGGTCTCCCACAAGAGTGGCAGGAACCCAACCACTTGAGCCATCAGCTGCTGCTTCCCAGGGTTGCACATGAGCAGGAAACCAGAATCAGGAATGAACTTAGGACTCAAACCCAGGCATCCTAACCAGGATCTTAACTGCTACGCCAAATGCTCACCCCAGCTACCTCTGTTAAGCAGTTTTTATGAGCACATAGGGGGCTTGTTGAAAAGAGTTGAGGAATTTCCCTGAGATAATTTCTAGTTCTTGTTTCCTTCAGATCATAGTGTGTTCCTTCCCACTAGCCCATGTACTGCATCCAACCATCCATCCATCCAGCCTTCTTTCCATCTGTCATCCATCCATCCATCCTCCATCCATCCATTTATTCATCATTCATTCATTCTTTCACCATCACCTGTCATCCGTCATCCATCATCCATCAACTCTATTCATCTGCACATTCATCCATCCTCCACCCACGAAGACTCTTTCCTTAACCAAGTTTTAGTCACACTCTTCTGAGCCCTACTCGTTAAGCCTGGTCTATAAGAAGTGTAGCTTTCAGCACAAATGTTTTGTGTCCCCCACTTACCTGAACTTGAAGACAGTCTTACATGACCTCTAGCTGCCCGAAGTCTTGGTCCTCCTTAGACCCATTTGCCCAGAGTTCCCCAAGACTTCCCTCAAAGAATTGAGCTCTTGTTCCAGCCAAAGCCTGGCAAAGGCTCTCACCTTTCCCTTAGTATTAGAGCATTTATTCAAAACAAAGCAGCGACTTAGGATGAAAAACCCTCCCTTTGTCCCTCTGAGAGGCACTGGTGTCTACCACCCAGGAGTGCCTTCTCAGGGGAACCCAGAACCATTCCTTTGCAGTGGGATGTCAGGAAGGACAGAGCTCCTCATCTCTCCCCCCTGGAAGAGGAGGGGACCTCACCTTGATGGGTGCCAGTGAGCAGACACAGGTGGCCTAATCCTGCAGACGTTGGCCACCTCCTTTAGCCTGCCTTCTGTAATTTTCTGCTTCCCTGACCCTGCCAGAGCCCTGCTCATGCGGGCTCCTTCTCCCTTTGTACACCCAGCCTGCTCCACTGCTCCACAGGAGTCGGAGTTGAGCTCAATTCTGTCCTGAAGCAGTACTGTCCTTACTACCTTTAACTAATATCCAGCTTTTTCTTTTCTTTTTTTTTTTTTTAACACCATCCAACAAATACTTTTGAGTATCTCTGGGTGCCAGGCACTGCTGTAGGCATTAGGTATGGAGCAGTCAGCAACACAGGAAAAAAAAAAAAAAACAACCAAAACCCAAAACTGTACTTTTGAAGAACTTAGAACTTACAGTGTGGTGAGAGGAATCAGATGAGCTTAATTAAAGCAGCTAATATTGTTGCCAAATTGGAAATCAAGTACTTGTCACAAGAGAAGCCGATGACTCAGAGGAAGAGGATGTGGGAAAAAAAGGGAGACGGCTTATTTAGGATGCCAGCAACTGCGGAGGTGGCAGGCTAGCGCCTTAGCATCCTCTGCACCAAAGGGAAGCTGGTCAGGGGTTTCCATAGGGAAACCCATTGCAAGCGGAGTCCTCATCTTGTGCCCAGGTTGTCGGCACCAGGGCTTCAGGAAAATGCAAACGAAAGCATTCATCAAAGAGGGGGTAGGAGGTCCTAGGTTAGACCTCGGTCACTGGGGTCCTTTTATTCTCAAAATAGTGTCCTGTTAGGATCTGTTACAAGAGGCCAGGTGGGTTAGTACTAGGAAGGAAAGTAAAACAGAGATGGGGAGAAGGGCCAGGAATTGGTGTTTCAAGTAGGGTGGTCAGGAAGGGCCCACTGAACGGTGCTGCCGAGCCTGTAGCGTGAGGCCCGTGGGTGTGGTTCACCAGGGAGCAGAGTGTGCAGGCCCTTCAGTGAGGACACGGCTGGCACACAGGGAGCCAGTGCTCCAAGCACTCATGCCAGCAGTGGTGTTTACTTAGGACCGCAGCCCCTACCCAACCCCCTTTCACAGCCACCTGAGGCTGGGTCAGCCAACGCTGGTGTTGCTCTGGGGGCCTTAGGTGGCGTGGAGACCCCAGCAGGAGTGGGGAGGGAAGCTGTGCCTTCACCAATGGCTCCTTTAGGCTTGGCTGTGGGAAGGGGGTCTGCGGGCAGGTTTCCTTTCAGCCTCCATTCCCTCTAGGAACATCCAGACCCATGGCGGAGAGGGATGCAGAAGGGGTGCCACTGGTGGGAACCACGCTGCTCTCCTGGGTATGTCTAAATGGCAGGAGCCTTCACCATCTTCCGATGTGGAGCTTAGCCAGGGAGAGCCCGGGGCCCAGAGGCAGCTCTGGTTATCCAGGGGACGTGGGAGGGAGTCGCTCAGGGGCTGACTTCTGGGTGTCCAGAGGGTGCCGTGCCTCTGATGCTTGGACCACGCTCACACACACAGGCTGCAGCAGGCTGCGTGGATCCCTCGGGGGAGGTGAGGAGGAGGCCCCTGGAGCTGCTTCCAGGAGCTCTCTGCTGGGTTTTAGTTACAGCCATGCTGGAGGCATGGAGGTCATGGGAGCGGACAGAAAAGGGGGAAGCTGTTTACTTCTTTATTTTTTGTTTCTTTTCTTTTCTTTTTTAAAAAAGGACATTTATTTGAAAGAGAGAAGGAGAGG